ATTGGTTAAAAATCTAAATATAATATGCCATTAAATGAACAGATGCTAACAGAAATGACGTAATGTTGGCAATAAAACAAGTTTTATAGTTTTATTTATTTTATGTTGTAACAGAATGACGTTCAAAAATCATGTTTTACGTTTCCAGATTCAGCTGTAAAATTAAATTGATTTAGATTATTTTAAGTTCAATTGTTTATAACTATTTTTAGCTCTGTTTACTTAGAAAACGTCCCGAAATAAATGTTACCTTAACTCAGACAATATATCGGCTAATCTATTGAACAATATGTATATAGAAATGCAGAAAAGGATCAATAAATCAAATGTCATTGCCTTGTATTGCTTTTTGACATAGTTATGTCTTACTTATTATTCTTACAAAAGCGTTTTAATTGACATTTAGTGTCATTTCTCTGAAATCGGGCAAGTATTAACTTAAAATGAATATTAAAAATCACAAGTAAATTCATCTGACAAATTTCTACAACCATTTATTGTAATTAAAGGGTATACCCATTTTTTATATAAAAAGATTTAAATTTTAACATGTACTCAAATATACATGTAAAATCAGATCAGATAATACCGTAACTTGAAACTTAGAATATAAATAAAAAGTCACAAGGTACACAGTCAAAACTAATCGTATTTGGACATAGTAATGCCCCTGTCTTAACCGCTCGTGTTTGCTAAGTATATTTGCAAGATCCAAGGTTATTATTACCTGTTTACAGCTTTAATTTAAATTTTGGAAGTTTAAAATCTATTACTACAATGTTTTCTTTTTTCACCACAGACTATTTCTTTTATATTTATGTTTTTTCACAAAAGTTATTCCCCTTTCCACCTTTCCAAACAAACTTCTATCAAGGACATCGATGGCGGTATGACTGTAGTCACTATAGTTATAACAAGATGATCTCAGCTGGTAAATAACGTCTCTATAACTTGGTCATTTGATTTGATCCTATATAAAGTGTAAATAAGCTCATATGTGCAACACGTTATTGATTCTTTCACCCACAACAACCATAGAAATTGTTAATTTTTCAGTGATTTGCTGTTTACGGTGTGGTGTTATGTTTAATTGTGTGATATTTAGTGACACTGACAAGTTCCAGAATTGCTTTTGTAAGATTCCCAAGAGAGTTTCAGGTGACAGCATTATGTCTCTGTTATTTGAAACATGATCTACAACAGTTATTGGAAAGTTTGCGGAAATACTAGTAGTATTGTTTGAACACGTTAGTATGTAAATTTGTACTGTTACAATCACTAAGATACCTTGTCATTACCTTTGAAATGCATCGGGTTTTTTTCTATAAACGCTGTCACAGAGTCTTTAAAGATCAAAGGAATGCATAAATCATGTATGACAAAGCGGATTAAATGCTGACAGATATAAAACGTTTTTCTTCCACGATTAATGAAACAGAATAGCAATGCGTTCACTTGGAGTGTATTTAAGTCAAAACAATACTTAACCTAGAGCTTTACGACTGTCTTTTATTTTCTTTCTATGAGCAAGAAACCTTAAATTACATTGAAGTGAATTATTTAAAACAAGCATTTTAAATTATTGTAATTTGATTGTTTCAATTACTTCGATATTTGTAAACCCTGTTGGAACTAAATGATAAGTCTTTGCCACCAATATAATGATAGGACAGTCTGCACATCTGTGCAATCTAACTAAGCTCTAAACTGTTGGTTGACAGATGTTCAGGATCACCTTGATTGTTTTATTTTACCGGCTTCAAAGTTTTATATTGGTATCATCAAAATATATTGTACACTTTTAACGAACGCTAGAAAAATCCATTTAAGAAGCTCAGCGGGGTAAAGGCTCACCTCCTATGAGCTAGCGGGATTGCTGATTGCATAAAATAATCCAAGTCGGATTCAAACCCACGGCTGTGTGAGGCGAATGATTTGATATCAGCGACTCTAACTTGTCGGCCACAGAGGCCCCTGTATAAGTCCTTACCACATTGATTTCTTTATCAATATTTTAAACTTTGCGGTTTTTCACTATTATACAAGTCTGTATTTAATACACCGGTACAAAAATTAAGGGAACAACATCGAAAGTGAGTTTCGTTTTTTACCTGGTATTTTTAGTATATAGTTTCTACATAACAAGGACTATGTTTAATTTTAGATAAAACATTCAGATTTGTCACTATTGTCTCATAGACATGATTTTAGCCTGAGCATTTTTTTTATTATTTTACTATCATATTTTTGGTTTTTGTTTTACAACAAACATTAGCAACCGCACTTCAAGGTATTGATCATATTCCCACGTGAGTGTCATGTGACAACATTAACTTTGTTACTAACGCCTATATTTGAAAAGCTTTCTGATTATTATAAAGGAGTACATCATCACGCTTTAGCAGTGTTTGAAGAACATTATTCCTCCTTCGTCTTTCTATTTTGTCCCTGAGCTTTTAAAGACTGAAAGAATGTAAAAGCGGTCTTTGTCAAAGATAAAGTATTACAGTCAGGCGTAACTTCATTATTATTATGATTAATGAAATTTAATATTGCATGTTCATCTGTAAATTATTAAAGGAAGTATAATGCTTTGTTTCTAGCAATACTGTTGATGTCTTTTATATAGCAAAAACTTAGGAAATACATTTGTAGATGATAGTTTTATACTAGCACTTAACGTAATTGCATGATATATGCCGTAATAGAATTTATTACTTTTATTTGTACAATTGCTTCTTGAATTATTGATTTATAATTTGTATGTTGGTATTGTTGGTAATAGTATTCTTATGAGCGGGAGGTGAAGAATGATCGGAAGATATATCCATTCATATATATTTTATATATTTTTTAAAGATTTAGAAAAAAATGCTTTACAGGGAAGGTTGGTGGTAGGTTTTCGCTTTTGTTTTCAAGTATTTGTGATAAAAAAACGTAAGTTAATATTTATTTGAAAGCCTTGAAAATGAAAGACAGAGGGTGTAGGAAAGGGAGCGGTGACCGTGTAATTGGGGTATTTGCGTCGCAATCCTAGGATCGCGGGATCAAGCCCTCTTGAGGTCACTGCCATGTCCTATATAACTCCGGTACTGGTTAGGTTCAGGAAAATTAATCGAGAGTGTCGTAAATAAGATTTAGACCTTCATTATAATTATAGCCAAAATGAATGTGATTAAACTAAATAAATGACAAAAGTTCAGTTCACAATCGCTCCTCAACGCACCAATAAAGCTGCATGCCCCCAGCTATAGTAGTTCAAGATTATTAAACTTGAGATAAATGTAATTAGATTTTGTGGAAAGTAAAAAAGATTTAAGTAATTATTTACATGTTTTGTGCCATTAATGACTAATGTTGCTGTTTTTATCACCATATTGCTATTGCGTGACTCTCGCATAGTTATCCAGTAAAGAGTTAGGGCTATTTTGTCATATTTTGACCACCTTTTTATGATTTACGTTGATTGTAAGTGCCGTTTGCAATGTGTTGATATTTTTCTTTTGTTTGTTTAACAATATTTCACTTTTAAATACATTTTCAAAAATGTTCATGAACATTAGCATGTTATCTGGAGGCATGCTGCTTTAATACTTTTAAATAATATATTTATTATTATTTTATTCAAGGAACAACACGCACGACTACTTTAAGGTGAATATAAGTGTTTTAGCTGAATATAGATACAATAAATTCAATAAAGTTACTTAGATCAGGAAGACCTGGTTAATATAAACGCCAAAAATCCATGATGAAGTATTCAAAAATAACAACAAATGTTTCATGTAAACAGTTTCAAAAATTGGAACAAATTCCTCTAGGATTTTATCACATAATTTATTTTAACATTTTGTAGTTTTTCGTTTACTTTCATGTTTCCCTCTAACGGTCTATATGTCTTCATTACGGTGATTTGATCTGCTTGTAAATAATGTATAGCATGTGCTACGTTTCTAATTCTCTTTTAAAATATAAAGTTTATATCTGAAATATATCTTGTGTAATTTAATACAATCTGTTGAAAGTTTAGATTTTTATGTGAATGTGAAATAGATACGACACGGAGAAAACACATTTGACACTACTTAAAGACATGTTAAGTTTCGAGAAATTTAAATATTTTTCAGATTAAGATCGCTTCAATATGTAAATAGAAGTCTTTGTTTGTTTGGAGGTCTTTTCGGGTTTATTTTATTTTTAATTCTTTATATTTATTTATTTTTATTATTATTTGTTTTTATTATTTTGTTGTATGTTGTAGTTTGTGTGTGTGGGAGGGGTGTTTTTGTGTTGTTTTTCTCCCTTTTTGGGGGGAGGGGGTGTTTTATTTTATTTTATTTTGTTGGGGTGGGGGTTTATAATTTCATTTTATTATTTTATTTTATTATGATTATTTTTTTTTTATTTTATCTTTTTAATTACGGGAAGTAATTAATACATTGTGCAGTTACACTGTATCATGTGTATCATATCTGTATTTGTGGACTCAAACTAGAATGATTTTTATTAAAAAAAACAACGACAGTTTACCTATCGATATTGCACAATATATGTTCTCTTAACAAATGTACAAATGTATTTCTGTTTGTGACTCGAACATTCTGCTTAACTGTTAGAACAACAATCAATTTAGTTGCCACTTTTACCAATGAAATCATTTACTCCTCTATTCGATATATGGCCGTATACCATGTATAGCATTGATGTTTTTATATCAGATATACCATGATACAATTTAACTAGTTATTGACAAATTTTAATGTATAAAGTATCATAGAATTATTCTATGATAATATTGATTTAGCGAGACGTTTCACTGATACTGGTAGATGGATACAAATTTTATCTCGCTTTTCTCTCTGGAAATACGTTCTCAATTATTGATGAAGACGAAATAATACCTCATAAAACAACAGAACCACCGTGGCTTGAAACAGACGGCATACAGTATACATGGCAAGCATTTAGTATAAACATAATTTCGCTTTATTTATTTTCAGATAACGTTTAGACGTACGGGCAAGGCGTTCTTCAACTTTGAAGTGGAGTAAAACAGGAAGTAAAGTAATTATAAACCTTTTCACGGCTGGAACAAATGGAAAACCTTTGAATTTATGTGGAAATGTTACTTCGTTTGGGGAATTTATGAAAGCAATTATAACTGTGTGAATTTAAACGTTTCTACAAGAACTGATGCGTTGAACTTTACAGTCTAGGCAAACGGAATTAATCATTTAAAGGCAAACAATACTATTAAAACAACTACAAAAACACAACACAACAACATAAAAATCAAAAACTTTTACCATCTTTATTTAAGGTTGTCTTAAACCTGACTGTGAAAAATGAGTGTGTTCTGATAATTACCTGATTACTCTTGTAGGCATTAATCTTGTTTGAGTGCCATGATGCTCCTTTAACTGCAGTTTCATCACATCGATTTTATAAAGGTCGATATCACGAAAGAGGCTGCGGAACAAACTCTGTGAAACTCAAATTGTAATGAGAATCTAGTGTGAACGTTGCTGCTTCTGAATTAAAAAGAAGTGATTGTTTGGAAATAATGTTACATGAATAGATTGATTGTGTGAGCTGCATAATTGATAGAAGCAATAACAATTAAATCTGATCGATAGCTTGTGAAAGAATTCTTTACAAAGCTATGATAAAACCCGTTCATTTTATCTAAATAGTAGTGCGAACTACTATCAAAACGTGTGTCCGATCTTTTCATCGATATAGGCAAGTTAACAAAATAATTAGGACCCTGTTGTAATTATTTTGTTCTTCGATAGAAAAGGATTGAAAATAAATACTCGCAGCAAGGAGAATTTTCCGCTTGCATACGCTATCAGATGTGACTTTGATGTAGGTGAAACAGCCTCGTAGATATGTTATGACGTAAAGACTCGTGATTTCTATGGAAATATTATTTTATTAGATTCTTTAAAAAGGATCGTTTAGACATTTGTAACGTAAACCTGTGCATTGGAAATAGCGGAATTAAAGGAGAATAAAGGGATTCCATTACTATTCTCATTAATTTATTGAAGGAAATATGAGAATATTATTTGAGCTTTGAAAAGGAAAACTGATCCAAGTAGCGACGGTATATAAAAATTCAGTGATTTATGATGCCAATGAAATTCATATTGAAAATCATCTTTTAGATTATTTTTGTCACGATTTACTGAAAGTTTTACTTCAATTATACATCGAACATACTCATCATTATATCTAACTGTGCTTTATATCCAAGCTTTTAAATATTTTTCGGATTAATCAAAACTGGAATTAAGGTGTCATAAAGATGAACCTGGAAATACCTGACGGATTAGGTGATCTCCTTCGGGATTTTACGGTTTCCGTGTTACGTGATAGGCCAGCGGATATCTATGATTTTGCTGTTGGATATTTCACGAAGGTAAGAGAAAATCGACGACCTAAAGCTGTCCCTATGTATGTCATTGTTGACGACGACGAGGAAGCATCTGAGCCTGACAAAGATAACTTCAAGCCGAAATGTCAGCGATTAAATCGGTACGGTAGACGACAATCAGTGTCTGCTGAAAGGTATGACCCGGAAGAAGACGATGATGATGAAGAAAAAACAATTCATGCTAAGACAGATGAACAAAGGGATCGTTTGACTGAGGTAAGCGTTTAAGGAATTGACTCAGTGTTTGGGTGTTACCATCTGAGAGGTTTAAAACGCTCAATTGAAAATACCGTCACTTTGAACTATTAGTTTTCTTCTGATAATTCCGTTATAATATGTGAGTGTTATAGCATTAAAGATAACAGAATAACTGCCATTAGTAATTTGTTTTTATTTACTTTTGTCAGTTTAAAATGTATTTTTTCCCCTCTTCTACCAATTTTTGTATTTTTTTAATACTTGGCAAGTTATAAATCTTACAGAGACAGCAATATTAATAGTACAAAAATTATTATGATGTTCCTTTCATTTAATCAAATCCACACTGGATATTTATCGGATTATTATGGAATAAATGCACGTTTACCATGACATATGTATAAACATTGCTTGGAGACGCGCGTTATTTTGAGCTTATCTCTACAAAACTCAAATTATTCGACTTCAACGGCCCTACAAAATTCTAGGTATTATAATTCACCTTCAAACTAAATCTTCTGACAAAAATGATTTTTGACATCATTTAAAATTTAATTTGTATTCTACAGCTCATTAAACGAACAAATTTATATGTGAATTGGTCACATAAAAAATCAATAAAAGGAACATTTAAGTTTAAATGAATGTAAATTTGATCAAGTATTACAGTTTTGTCATTATTATTAAAAAAGACATGAATGTATCTATTCCGTATCCAAAATAGTTGTTTAAAGATAGGTTATACTGAAAACTCTAACGTTGACACAATTTCCTGTATTTTTAAAAAGGGACCAACTTAATTTGACCGGTAACATAGTTTTTGCATTAATCAAATTAGACAAATTAAGTAAGAATTGACTAGATTTTATTAAATTCCTGCAAATAAAATCATTTCACCCAAAGATGATCTTAATATATCTTTAACAGCAGTACATCCTATGCATTTTTTAAACTCCTATTGTAAAGTAATTTTCTTTCATAATTGTAAATTTCTACATAATAATATTGTAACATTTACAAAAACAATGCAGGTTAAGTAAAAGGTATTATTCTAAACTTCTCAAAAAAAATGTTAACTAAACTTCTCAAAGTAAAATAACGACAATGCGAAGTCTTCTTCAGAAAAAAATTGACGTTTATAAAATAACAAATGACAAATGACGCAACGTCCGTTTAACTATACGCTAAACAGAACGTGACGTTAACGCGGGAATAAAAACTTTGTGCAAAAGCTTCATGAAAGTAAACCTTTGGTTGCATTTAAAAGACCTAAAAATCTAAAAGACATTCTCGTTAATTCTAATATTAGGTCTAATAACAAAAATGCGAAAAGTTCATCCAAATGTAATAGAAGTAGATGTACACATTGCAGCTCCATTTTTGAAAGCAATATATTTAGTAGTACTAATAAGTACTAGTAAGAATTATCATGTAAATAACAATACTGATTGTTCTACGAAAAATGTTATATATCTTGTCACTTGTGATAAATGTAAAGAGCAATATGTTGGTCAAACGAAGCAACAAGTGTCTAAACGCATGAATAGCCATAGGTTTGATATCAACAATTTTTCCGATCCGTTATTTTCGGCCAATGTCGCTACACACTTTAATAAAACCAATCATTGTATTAAGGATTTTAAATTTATGCCTATAGAATGTCACCGATGATATGGAACGCTTATTACAAGAATCATACTGGATTCATAAGCTTAACACATTATCTCCTAATGATATGAATGCAAAAGTTTTGTACAATATATAACTTTGTCATTATTGAGCCGGTATACATATACATGTAGTATGTTTTTTTCTCATAATTATCAAGGTTTTTATTTATTTTTTTTATTTATTTTATTTATTTTTTTTTTTTTTATTTTTTTTTATTTTTATTTTTTTTTTCGTTATTCATAGGACATATTTATAATCAAAATTCTTAAAGACTTACTTGTCTTTTTGATTTTGCATTCTTAATCAAATTTTTAGTGTCTGATTATTTAAAAGCATTGTGTACTTAAATGTTTTCATTGAACTCGGTTTTAAGCACGATTTTTCGTATTTTTTATTTTCTTTTGTTCCTCCGAGATTTTGACTCAAATATCCATATTACTGCGTTTCCTATTTACTCTTTCGTAACGCTAAGACTGCATCTTTTAAACGAAGCGTGCGAGAGGTCTTCTTGCAGTGTTTAATTGTTCAAATGGCGGGAAAGTAAGAATTTCTGATTGGTCGAATTGCATCTGCGAACAATAGCAACATCGGCTAATTCCGTCAGCGTCCGGATAAACATTAATTAGGAACAATCGGCAAAGTGTTGAGCAGCAAAATTGTCTGTACACGATTCACTCGGTCATATAAAAGTGTTTGGTGATATTGTAGCTATAGTGCTAACTGTCTTTTTTCTTCGAAACATGAAATAGTAAAACTCAGTATTCAGTAAGCCATTATCAATTTAAGCTCTTAAAAGGATTAAAAACGGAATAAACCACTGTTCGTAGTGTTAAATGTAACTTAAATGAGTTTTTCTGATTTTTCCTTTTACAGATTCGTTCACCTCGATGTTAAAATCTTTCGTTTTAGAAAAGTCATATTTTGAAGAAGAACATGCGCAGATTTTTTTTTTTGTAAACTGGTTTTAATGATTAAGGCTTTAAATCAGATTCATTAACTTCAAATTGATTCTACAAAAATACCGTCGGCAATAATTCTCAACACTGTAGGGAGATCTGATGGCCTCTCCAATAATTCAATCATGAATTGTTACAATTTTTAAAAAAATGTAATCGTGTTAAAAAAGCATCAACAGAGCCATTCAGAACAGGCTTGATCCCTTTGTATATTTCGTTTGCAAGTTTTTATTATAATTTACGCGGTAATGTTTAAATATGATATATTATAATTAATACGAAAAAAATATTATATTTGCTTTATTATCACTATTTATCAAAATTTCATCGCTTTGGTTCAACTTGGTTGCAAATTACTGTTTTTTACTTTTTCAGGCTGTAAGTGGTATTTTGTTATTCCGAGCTCTAGAGCCAGAACAAATGCAAGATGTCTTAGATGCAATGTTCGAAACGGTTGTAAATCCAGGGGATTTTGTTATAAGGCAAGGCGATGACGGTGACAATTTCTACGTCATTGACTCTGGAAAATATGACGTCAGTGTAAATGTAAATGGTGAGGAGAAGAAGGTCCATACATTTGAAGACAAAGGAAGCTTTGGTGAGCTAGCTCTTTTGTATAATATGCCAAGGTCGGCATCTGTTATGGCTGTCACAAAAGGCTCACTTTGGGCAATGGATAGAAATTCCTTTAGACGAATCGTTCTTAAAAGTGCATTCAAGAAAAGGAAAATGTACGAAGAACTTCTTGAAAATGTTCCAATTTTAAAATCTCTTGAGCATTATGAAAGGTCAAATCTAGCAGACGCATTAATGTCAAAAACTTTTAAAGATGGAGTGTGTATCATTCAACAAGGTGACGAGGCAGACGGAATGTTTTTCCTAGAGAAAGGAGTAATACGGGTCACAATCATAAATCCTGACGGAGTAGAAGAAGAATTAGGTCAACACTCTAAGGGCAAATATTTTGGAGAGCTTGCTTTAATAGAAAATCAACCCAGATCAGCAAATGTTTACGCCGTGGGTGATATCAAAGTTGCTTTCCTCGAAAGAGAATCATTTGAGAGACTTCTTGGGCCATGCCTTGATATTATGAAAAGAAATACTGAGTTTTATAAGCAGTATACTGAACAACATCCTTTGAAAAGCAGATGTGACTAATTTAGAATCAATGAGCAACAAATACTGTTTAGAATCGAATAACGTTTTATATGATGACGTATTAAGGTTGAAATGAAACTCGGAGAGACTGAATGTACCATACTCATCAAATAAGTACACAAACTTCGTTACGAGCTCATAAATGTGTATTGTTTTACATGTGCGTTGTAGCAGACGCCTAAACAACGGCATCTGGTATGAAAAAATTTCCAATGTTCACAACCAAACTACAACCGTGACCAAAGGTTGTCTATAAATGATCGACAGAGACAAAGGGTGCCAGACAAATTTAATAGATTATTTGACACAATCAATCATTTGCACTGAAAAGCTAGGATTTATTACAATTATATTTGTTTGCATTTTACTTGAATATGCGTTACTCTCAATTCCAATTCTATAGTGATTGTTTAATCAGTGATGATTCCATTAATTCAATCATTAGGACATGGCAAATAAAATCAGAACTTTAGAAATGCTTTACAAGAATAAAAAACAGCAGTCTTGTGTTTTCTATGAAATTTAAATTAACATATTCATCTATTATATTGTGTATATGACTTTCGGAAAGACCTATCTTCTATTTATGTAAATGCCATCGATTTATTCTTTATAAAAACGCAATCAAAAGCTCAATGAATCATTGGATTTCTTAGTAAGGTTGTTATGTATTTCTTTTTTTTACAATAGAACTAAAATTTACTACCATAGAGTAGCTGACTATTTTTGTTGTAACATTATTCATTTGTCTTGAATAAACGAAAATCAAATTCTTTAAAATTAGAACTTTATAACTGAGAACTTTGCGTTAGTCTATGTTAAAATAAAAAAGTGGTACAATAATATATGAACAATAGTTGTGACATTTATATAATTATTATGATTAAAAATACTTTCTTTAAAATAGCATTCTGAAATATGTACTAAACTTATTATGTCACTGAGAAATAATGTTTCTTATAACTTAAGAATTGACATGGTCCTATAGTTGAATCTTTGTTTTAGTATGTACATTGTATTTCAAATTAACATAATAAATCACATTATGATATGTACATCTTTACACGTTTATGTTGTAAATGGGTTAAAGAAAACAATTACATAAATTTCGTTGAAATATTTTTTCTTCGTGTATATAGATATTTTAAAACTATCATAATGATGTTCGCACGATTAACAAATACTTGTTCACAGTGTACTTGCATTCAGCAAAATATTTTCCTGTAATCATTTTCAGTATATCATCATTGCAATGAGAATTCATGTGATGTAAATACAAACAAAAAACAAATGAGCCGCGTCACGACAAAACCAACATAGTGGCTTTGCGACCAGCATGGATCCAGACCAGCCTGCGCATCCGCGAAGTCTGATCAGGATCCATGATGTTCGCTACCAGTTACTCTACTTGTATTAGGGTTTGTAAGCGAACAGCATGGATCCTGATCAGACTGCTCGGATGCACAGACTGGTCTGGATCCATGCTGGTCGCAAACCCATTATGTTGGTTTTGTCATGGCACGGCTCAAATATAATTGATAATCTATAGACAAACAACTTCTAAATAAAAGCTGCATGGTTTGATGTAAGTTTTATTATACCATTACATTGATTTCTGTTGATAAAGTGCAGGCCTGATCAATTTAATTACATCAGTCACCATCAGCTTTAAATGTAGCAGACAACTCATCAATACATATTGAACTAAAATAAAGAGAATGGATATACGTTACTAGTTTGAAAATATTAAACTGATAAACTTTGAAACAAACAGAAGTTCTGAAGATTATAGTTTCTCTTACATCTGTCTAAAGACATTTTTGGACTATTTCATATCAGCATATTACTGCGCGCAACATGAACTCGAGAGGTTGTTTCATTTGAAATATAAAGAAAAATGCATACATATATTGAAAATATGATAAATATAATACCAACAAGTGTCTGATATTATTAAATTTATCAGGTTTAGCACAAAAAATGAAGGGCTCGGCAGATCCTCGCCCTTTTTTTTCTTTGCCTTGCCTGATATCAGACACTGGCATAGTATTCTCTGTTTGTCATCCTTATAAACCTGTATACTGCAAAATATTCCGTTAGATATCAGCAATGGATTATATGATAACGATAATCCATCATACCACATTTGAGCCGACACGACAAAACCAACGTAATGCGTTTGCGACCAGCATGGATCCAGACCAGCCTGCGCATCCGCGCAGTCTGATCAGGATCCATGCTGTTCGCTTACAAACCATATTACAAGTAGAAAAACTGATAGCGAACAGCATGGATCCTGATTAGACTGCGCGGATGCGATGCACAGGCTGGTCTGGATCCATGCTGGTCGCAAACGCATTATGTTGGTTTTGTCGTGACGCGGCTCATTTATGTAAAATGCACATTTTGATATAAAAAAATTTGAATTAAGGTAAAATAACCTGACAGTTTGGCATCATCAGTACAATTGAGATACCAATATAACTATTCTAAAGTTTAATTATTATTACGGAGTGTATAACATAGCAAATACCCTCTTTTAACCAGACTTGAAAAAACGGTGCATTAAAACGAACAATTTATATTATTAATCGATCTGCAATACTTCAGGTTTTACATCACATTTATTGGACCAATTTGCCGGCTGCTAGCGCCAAGTATTTTTTAATGATAGCACATCAAATAAATAATTCAACTTTGGTGTGTAAAAATTGACAAGCAGCAAAATGTATGAGCTGCACAATTAAGCAGACGATGGATAAATCAATATTTTTCTGTATAAATAAATAATATCAAAATCATGTATTGCACTTACTTCAAAGTACATGAAGAGATGGGATAAATGGAAATGATAATTGTAATTATTTCTATATATGTACATGGTTTCTAAATCGAGAACATAAATACTACTTTGAAAACATGGTAAGATATTGTCGAATGGATTTCACAATTTTATCATTTCTTCACAAGAGTTTTATGAATTCTAAATTTGGAGAGTCACTGGTTTACATTTATATGAAAAGTTTTCAAATATTACCGTTTGAACTTACGTTTATATCGTTAATGATGAAACTCATGCCAAATTTGTTTTCAAAACTAAGTTGTATATTGTACTTTGTTACATGATGATAACGTGATAATTATTATGAAACCATTGAGACAAAATAATGTACATTACAAAACAGAACAACACATAAACTAAACAAAACCATATCGTTTAGAAACATATAACAAACATACATAAAATTTTATATAAATTTTCTGAACTCCGATGTCTGGTTATGTGTTAACTTATTTACAATGTCGGTTGAATAAATTGTGTGTAATGAACTTCTTTATCATCAAAATAATAACATAGCTTTTTACGCAGATTTTCTTTGGGTCGTCAGACCAAACAAATAATGGTAGCGAAATTTCAGACCCTGATGTTCTTATTTGCAAATGCCGAAAGTAGTCCAAACTCCTCGAAGCGGTTACTTCCCTTTATATGTACATTAACGCCGAAAAATTAAGGGGAGATCACTGCGTAAAGATTGTCAAATGACAGGCGCATTAATTTTCGTAACGAAAAAATAGTTCCCGATTGGTAGAAAATTTCTATTATTGTGTTATTCTTATAGATATACATGCTTATATTCACCTCCTTGATTATTTACTTCATTGTTAAACATCAGGTTTACCGTGAACAAAATATATCGAAACTAATAAGGGTTACAAACTCTAATTAAGAATAATATGGTATTCTTCGTGCTCTTATCTTATAACTCCCCGTGGTCGAGGGGTTTACACGCAAGAGGTCCGGAGTTCAAATCCCAGTTAAGGCAACTCATGTTTTTTTTGTTTGTTTTTTTAATTGATTAAGCCAAATAAAGATTGAATTGAATATCAGTGTTGCAATTAGTCTTATAGCCAATTAACTTTAGTAATAACACTGGAAACAGAATTTGGCGACACTTTACAAACAAATTGGTTTATAATCTCACAACCTTCACCTTTCTGACATTCTGAGACCCAAACAAATTCAGCGCCTTCTGTGCTTTCATTTTGAAAGTACTGGAGAAAATGTTATTGAAGGCTTTGCTTTATTTTCTTGATTTGTTTTAAAATGGGGAGGACATAACGGTTAATAGTGATACTCGGCGCCAATGTCTCATGTACACAAGTGACAAATTCTCAGATTTAACATACTCCATATACTTAAAGGGAAATAATCGTTTCATTAATGAAATAGTGTATTGTTATGCGTAGTAACAAGAGATTTATCAAGGAACATGAGGTTTGAAAAATTGTAATTATTCAATCACGTATACTTAATGTTGTAGTAGTGAAGATATATGACAACTTTTAAACCTTTTGTTAACTCCATTACATCGGATGTTCAATTTTAAATAAATAATTTGAAGTTGACAAATATTAATTTTAAACATTTAATTTCCTTAATTAATTATAATTCATTTATGCATTTTGTAACTTTTGATGTTTACATAAAAGTTCTAAATGCATCGTACTATTTATACATAATAGCATAATGTATTTCCATTCCACTCACTATAATTGGTGGGAAAATAAGACGACAGTCACAAAATACGACAATCACAAAATACATGTACATTAAACATGTTTCACAATAATGCTCCCATTTATTGTTTCTATGTTCTTTTTGGAGCAGTTAGCTCCTAAGCGAGAAAAAGAAGAACAAAAAATATGTATGTTCGCTTTTTGCGACAATTCTTATATCTCATGAATATTTCGTACTGATATGCATTGATATAATCATGTATTTATAAATTTAATTTAAATATTGTCCGACCGTAAGCTATTTTTAATTGTGAGCTCTTGTTAATTTGTAGGGTTTGCGCCTTTTAAGCAATGTGTTAGTTAATTGAACAGATGGTTACTGCATCTTTAGCTTGGGCATAATCATCTGTAGACGCATTAGGACGAATATCATACCTTAGCTCGCACGAATTCTGTAAATGCAATGCGCATTGGTAATATTTTACATCATAGTTAAAGCGATATGCTATATGATAATTCTATGTTGATTATGAAGCTACAGGGGTCGCCATAAGGTATTTCTACAGTTCGCTGTTTTAAAATGGCACAATTGGTCAAGCATATAAAAAACTTACAACTACGAAACGTGCTCGCGTTTATTTTATCAGTTTATGTGTCGTGGGCGTGAATGGTAATTTGCAGTTGACAGTACCGTCCACGAACATGCTCAATCAAACCTTGATTGCAACATTTTCAATTTTCCTGTTTTGAACTTTCTTTAGGGATTCTTATTTTCTATTTTTATATTTGATGATGATGATGATGATGATGATGATGATGATGATAATAATAATAATAATGGTGATGGAGACAACAACGATGATGATGATGATGATGAAAACGATGACGCCATCGAAAAAGATGAGAATGATGAAAGTGAGATACACGACACTTTTATAGATTTTCCCATATTCTAGGCAAATCCTAATGTTCTCTTTTTAATAGTTAAGATGAAAAGGAATGCAAGTAATGTTCTTGTAATTCTTAAGGCTTAATGGGAACCTATCAATTATCACCAACTAGAGACAAAGGTGGTATACTTTCTCCGTTTATAGAATAGAGTCGATTAAGTCTATGCTTTGTTGGCTTTGTTGGCAAAGCCTTTGAGATATAGCCATAGTTGACTTGATATATTATTCCATTGTTATGAACTTGTAAATAAGTTTTACATACGTGGTATGCATAATATTATTTTGTCATCTTAATAAAACACTTTTAATATTTTTCTTTTAATTTAGTAAATAATACAAGTTGTTGATGGCCACAAACAATATTAAATCAACTAAATTAATAATAATTATAATATTTTACAAAATAGCCGACTTTGGCTGACTGTTTACTAGTGTTTTTAAGAAATAGAAATAAAAGCAGAATGATCTTACACCTTACACATACACATGTCCTAACATATACTTTTTGAAAGGACGTAGTCCAAAATATGAATATCTCGAACTTTATTGATAAAATGACCAAATATTTTCTCATCGCTACTTTATTA